AGTTTAATTGCTATTTTAGCAGTCTTCTGGCCAACCTCTTACTTACCCAGCTTGCTGAATGTTACTTATTAACCTTTTCTTGTAGTTTATCCCATTGATAATGCAAAGTACTTGTGGTGCTCACAAGAATGCATGACCTTTGTAAAAAATAATGTTAAATGTATGATACTTTTTTGTGGCATATGAATAAATCTAAACATATTTCATATCCTGGTTTGTATCTTCTCAGACTGTATGGGGATGAATCCGAACTGCATTTCTGGACTATTGCTGCCCACTATTTGCACAGTTTATCCCAGGAAAAGCCTGCAAAACCAGCAGACATAGCTATCCTTCAGGAACAGCTGGTTAATCCCTTGGATATATGCTATGACATACTGTGTGAAAATTGCTACTTCCAGGTAATTCAAAGAGTTAAAAATATATTTAATAAGAATGTCATCAGCATAATAAACGCTCAGCATTGTAACCTTCTTCTTATCTCACAGCTTTTCCCTATACATATTTCACTTTCATTAGTAACATGCCACTGGATTAAATCCCTCCCTATTATTTAAAAATAGAGAGGGTGTTCCAGAAACTCTCAAAATACTTCCATGTCTTTTAAATGCTTCTTTTTATTTCTCGTGGTGTTCTTACACTTAAAATATCTTTTTCTTCTTCATGCAGAAATTCCAACTTGAAAGGGTGAATCTCCAGGAAGTGAAGAGATCAACGTATGATCATACCAGGAAATGTGCTGATCAGCTTCTTCTCTTGGGCCAGGTTTGTGGGTAATATTTGAATTTTTTATTCTTCTTACCTGTCCATTTTATGTACTTACCCTATGCAAGTGAAGTTTTGTCTAATTCATATCTGTTGTTTCATACTTTTATTCTCACAGTGCATAGTTTTTGCTGTCTCAATATGTTATTACACTGAAGACTCTGTGTAATGGCATGATCTGTGTTGATGCTTGGTGTTACTTGCTTCAGACTATTTAATTTTCATGGGAACCTTATAAAAATCTTTCTTTCCATCTTGTGACTTGAAATAAAAAAATACATTTTGAGTTTCTCAGAAATAACTAAAATGTAACATCTTTGTGGTAACTCAGTCTGCACTTCGTACTCTTATTTTAGGTAACGGGATGCATGTAAGCTTTTGACAGATCTGTGCTGTGCAATGAGACGTACAGAGCTGCTCACTGAGACCCTGACATGAATATTGTAGCATTTATAGTGTATATATAATGAGCTGTTCCCTACTAATGCAGTTGTGCCACATCCATTTCCAAAAATAGCTTTGGTATTACTAACTTGAACTTAAATGATTTCTATGCACTCTGGATTTGAGCACGTCAACAAATGTTACCTGTAAAATATGTCAGAAATACTTACTGTGTTTAAAATGCCAGTTTCTTGAATCACTGTACTGGATTTAATAAGTATTTAATAGGGCTTTTTGTTATTTCTGTAATTATCTAAGCTATCAAGTTTCATGTCTTAAAAAGAGTGAAAATATAAGTACTTTTGTTTTAAAGTGAATATGTTGTCATCAAATCTGTGTTTTGTTTCTCTACCAGACTGACAGAGCAGTACAGCTGTTGTTAGAAACAAGTTCAGAGAATGCACATTATTACTGCGATTCCCTCAAAGCTTGCTTGGTCACGACTGTCACCTCGTCAGGTCCATCTCAAAGTACCATTAAACTGGTAGCAACCAACATGATAGCCAATGGAAAGCTCGCAGGTAAAATGTGACTTTAATGTTACATTTGCTTATAAACTAGTAATTCTGAGCTTATTAAGGCTGCTGAAGGAGATGGGAGAGCAGAAAATGGTAACATTTCATATATTTTCCTTATGTTATAGCGTCTACAGTTGTTAACACAAAAATGCTCAGTAACTCAGTTATAAAGTTTAACTTGTTTTGATTAATTTTCATTGGAAATCGTATTTCTGGACATAATTCTCTTAGCAACTGTTTGCGCTAAAAGAGTCTGGGCACGTAAAGCTACGTATTTTCTACTTTCCTAGTGAAAGAATTAATTAAAAAATGGTTTCTAATTAGTGAATCTGAAATACGGACTTAATTTCCCTTCCAGTTCAAAACTTGTTTCAAGAAGTGTGTTTTCATACATGTACATGTTAATTTTGCATAATGCAAGAGATGTTCACAGTGTGATGATTGACTGAAATATTCAAAGACGTGCAGAGAAAGTACAAATGTCTGTACTTGCCTGGAAAAAATACTTCCACTCTGTGGACAATTAATATTTCACTGTTAATAACTGCACTGTGGACAACATTAATAAAGGATTATTTATGAAATCTGTTTATTTGATTTACAAAGGTTGTTATCTTTCTAAGTCCAGTGAAATTCTTGTCATTTGTATTTAGTACAGAGGTAAATGAGAGCTTTGTGAGGTCCTTCTAAGCTCTGTAGCCCAGGAAAAGGACCAATTAGGAGTTTTCAACGTTTTCATATGCTAAGCGAGAGGCTTTTTCTGGGGATGAATGATCTGCTCACATTTATATAGCATCTCATTTCTTCCTTAACTTATTAAATAGTGTGCTTTTTATTTTCCAGAGGGTGTGCAGTTGCTGTGTCTGATTGATAAGGCTGCTGATGCCTGTCGCTACTTGCAAACTTACGGTGAATGGAATCGCGCAGCATGGCTTGCAAAGGTACGCAATTTCTCAATTTTCAGTTTGCTAACATAAATAATACTTAGTATATGGAGGTATGGAGGCTGATGAGGGTGCTAAGGTCCTCCAAAATTAAAAAGCTGAAACTTCAGTTTGAAATATCTTCATCAGTTCTTTCCATGTGTTAAGCTACACCAAGCCAGTCCATTCAGTCAGTGTTGACAGATTCTTCTTCAGCCTTTTGACTGCAAAGGTCTGCCTTGATCATCCAAATTTGGGCCTAAAAATGGTTAGAATACTCAATTTTTTAATTTTTAAGCAGTGATTTCTGAAGTTGCATATAGCTGCAGCAGTACAGAGTTCATAGGAAACTACAAAAAACCACTCCTGCAAGTGGTTAAGTAATGAGGCATTTGAGTGACTGTGCTGAGCTCCACGTAGCTCGTGTGCTGATTTTAAAGATAGCACCAACTGCAGAAATTTGCACCAACTTCTGTTTTGGTATGCAGACATTATTACAGTAAAAGCACCTAGACACAGCATTAATTCTCCAAATTATGATGGACAGGAGTCAGTAAGGATGATCTTTCAGTATCTGTAAGTAAAGGTTCTGTTCTGTTTCCTGCAGAAAGCATGGAAAAAGTCGTACTCAGATTTTCTAAATGTATGAATCTCACTTTTAAGAAAAATAGAGATGTTTTGTCCTTAAGTTTTCAGCAAAGGATGAAGATTTCTGACTTCTTGATGCTTGAGATTTTAATAAAGCTTTGTGGTAAAAATAATCTTAATCACATGTAAATGTGGAGTGACAGGAGTGGAGATTTTCTGTATATGTGTATTTCTTCTTTTTCTTTGCTGTATTTGTTCAAGGGATTAGTGTTCTTTTTATAATAAAATTGGTAGTTTCAGATGCTTTTACTTCTGCCCAGAGTTTCTCACTGAAACAACTGAAGCAGAATTCTCTCTGTAGTTACCAGCTGAGAATTCATGACTGGCTTTCCCATCTCTTACAGGTTCGTTTGAACTCGGAGGAGTGTGCAGATGTGTTAAAGCGTTGGGTTGATCACCTCTGCTCTCCACAAGTCAACCAGAAGTCCAAAGCCATTCTTGTCCTCTTGTCGCTTGGATGCTTTACAAAAGTTGCGGAGATGTTGCACAGGTAAAGCTGAAACAGCACAATCTGTATTTTATCTTGTCCAAAATTGTTAGGCAAGTCACTGAAAAAACTGAAGCAGAATTCTCTCTGTAGTTATCAGCTGAGAATTCATGACTGGCCATCCAGTCTCTCAAACAAACCATCTCTTACAGGTTCGTTTGAACTCGGAGGAGTGTGCAGATGTGTTAAAGCGTTGGGTTGATCACCTCTGCTCTCCACAAGTCAACCAGAAGTCCAAAGCCATTCTTGTCCTCTTGTCGCTTGGATGCTTTACAAAAGTTGCGGAGATGTTGCACAGGTAAAGCTGAAACAGCACAATCTGTATTTTATCTTGCCCAAAATTGTTAGGTAAGCATTTGTGGCTCAGAAGTCAAGGGGGACAGAGGAAGTCTGCAGTTTGACTTCTGACATTTGTATCTATTTTAGCATGTTATTCTTTAATGAACTTTAACCTCAGAAGTGCTTCGTTTCTGTTTGTGGAACTGATGTTTTTGTTGCAATTTCAGGAAATACACTGGTATTTAAATTTGCTACAGGCTTTAAGATTGCTAGCACCCATTGACCATTAACAATTTACAGTAGCTATGATTATTTTGGAGTCAGTTGAGCCTTGATCTTTTAAAAATTTTGCATCAAATGCCAGTTCCTTGAGTGGAAGAAGGAAGGGGAGATGAAAGAAGCTTGGGAAAAGGGCAGTGCCAGCCTAACAGGTACAAAAGGAGCTCGAGGCAGTACATGGGAACAGTATGACCAGGGCAGCAGCATTCACTGCTGTGAGGAGTACACTCAGTGCTGTCGTGGTATAGAGAGTGCTTAACAACTGTGAAACACGAAGTTGCAGAGAGCAAGGTAGAGCCACATTGGAAACTGAGAGCAGTGTGTGCTGTGAACATGTGAGTATGTGTCATAGTGGCAGCTAAATGATGATAATATTTAATGTTGGTGATGATCAGAACTCTTGTTCAGGCCCCTGTGCAGAAGTGATTTGCCACTCCAGACCAAGGTGCAAAGTTTTAGAAAGCCTGTGTGCAAGTGTTTTTGTGAGATGTCCTGGAATACTTTCCTAGTTTGTGTCCTCACAAATAATTATCTTTTTTTTTTTCCTTCCATTTAACAGTATGAGGTACTTTGACAGAGCCGCTTTATTTGTTGAAGCTTGTCTGAAGTACGGGGCATTTGAAGTCAATGATGATACAAATATCCTTTTTATGAAATCCTGTACTCATACAGAGTGAGTGTGTCTGAGCCAAGGTTAGATGAACTGGTCTGCACAGGAATAGGGAGTTCCTGTTTTTATTGTCCAGGTTGTATAGTTAGAAGGAAGTATGAGGAAACAAGTGAAAAGGAGTTGTTTGCATTAATCTGTCACATTACCTCCTCCTGATTCTTTGTGGGGCCTGTGGTACTGGAAAACAAAATTAAAAAAGTAAACATAGGAGAGAAAAAACCAGATGATAAAATGTCCTTTGCAGAACTTGTAAATTATTACTGCAGCCTGTATAGTGAAAACAGTGGTTCAGTTACCTTTTAAACACTTTATCTCAGGAAAAAAAACCACTTCATTGAACCCCTCTGTACACCAACAGACTGGTTAGTGGTTGAAGTCCTTTAAGAAGGAGTCAGTGCTGAGACAGTGAAAACAAGGAGCATTAAAGGTCAAGATGTTCAGAGAAGAGCCACAAGGATGGTGAGGGATCTGGAGAACAAGCCTTATGAGGAGTGGCTGAGGGAACTGGGCTTGTTTAGACTGGAGAAGGGAAGGCTGAGGGGAGACCTCATCACAACCTACAACTGCCTAAAGGGAGATTGTAGAGAGGTGGGTGCTGGTCTCTTCTCCCAGGTGATGAGGAATAGAACAAGGGGAAACGGCACCAAGCTGTGCCAAGGGAGGTTCAGGTTAGAGATAAGGAGGAAGTTCTTTACTGAGAGGGTCATCAGAAGCAGGAACAGGCTGCCCAGGGAGGTGGTGGAGTCACCATCCCTGGATGTATTTAAAAAGTGGGTAGATGAGGTACTTAGGGATATGGTTTAGGGGGTAGACAGGAGCGGTTGGACGTGATGATCTCAGAGGTCTTTTCCAACCGAGCGATTCTGTGAAGATCAGATGAGCTGAAAACGTAATACTTTAAAAGGTATCTAAAGCATTGCTCAGTACAGTCTGCACATCTAACTGGGTGCTCTGGAAACTCTGAACAGTTGCTCTGACTTTTGTATTGTATGCAATAAATAATGACATATATGAAAATAATGCCTGATTGTGGTTTATGGCATCACTGCAGATGTCAGCTAGTAAATAAAAAAAACCCACTAATAAGTCATGTAGATAACTCCAGATCTAAACAAACTCCTGTAGTATGACCTTACAATTGCTTAACTTGCTTTGGAAGTTATGACATGGTACTATGGTGGCTACTTAGGTGTGTCTGAAATGTGCCTGGTTTAGTTTCCAGCACCCTGCACATTGCCTGATAAATGCTAATGTGCACTCGACAGTAGAATTTAAAGCGACTTTTCTGTCTGTATTTGTGCTGAAAAATATTGGATTAGCACAATTGGCAGCAATGTTCATCATTTTCAGCTTGAGAGAGCTAAGGAGTAAGAAGGAAAAACATAATCTGAGTTTTTTTTCATTTTGCTATTCATTTGTGTTTTCCTTAATGCTTCATTTACATAAATTGATCCATGCCGTATACGCAGATTATGCCAGAAGCTTGAAGCTCCTGGGCTTTAAACAGGGAGCTCTTCTCTTCGCCTCAAAAGCAGGAGAAACTGGTAAAGAGTTACTGACTGAGCTCAAACAGCCTAAAGAGGAAGTGACACAAGAGTAAGAGTTTGGTGTTTATGAGGAGATTTGGATGTCTCTCAGACTGAGATTCCATGGTGTGAAAATACAACTCTTTTTCTCTTGAATCCCTGTAATAGCTGATACACGTATTTTGATGTGTGTGTGGAGGCCAGATTAAGAACTGTTTATTTTTATGTTAAAATTGTCTTCGCTTTCAGGAGAGGGGAAAGAAGCCTGTGATAAAATTAGACAAGAATATTTCCAACTTCTTCAGCTACAGCAGAAATCAAATTTAAAAACGTACTGAAAGAGAACTATACCTGTTGTAAAAGTCTACTTCATTAACTTCTAAAAATCAAATCTTCCTAGTTCTTCACTGCTGTTGTATTTATATGTATAAACGAGTCAATCTGTACTATAAATATATAAATATGTTTAAAGAATAAATATAGATCACAGAACACACAGTTCTTTCCTGGAACATTGTGTTTCCTCAATCCAATTTTTCTGCTGGGGATTGCTGTTCTTTTAAATCAGTTCACTGCGTTGTAATTTCCATAACTGTCTGCAATGGAATCTTTAACAGGTTTACGTACAAAAGTCTCCTAACATTCCAAAACTCCATGAAACGTCCTTGTTTTCAATAAAGGTATTGTTACATTCGATGTCGTTTTCCAGTGTGCACTCCCTGCACACCTTAGGGACTGAATTCTGCCCTGTGTTGACTGGGTCATGGGACCAAAGGATGGGAGAAGGTCCTACCTCAAAAGCAGCAAGGTAGGCTCCTGCAGAGTATCTGGGAGACTAACACTGTCTCCACAGTTCTTGTTTTGTTGGTGATTTGAATGTGTGATTAACAATAGGTAAAAGAAGCATTGTGCAAAGCCAAAATGCTGGCTTTGTGATTAGGTACTTTGTATGCTAACACATCTGATGGTGCAGATGCTTAAGGGTGCCACCAGTGACATCTTTTCTAATTTTTGTGCCAGTATTTCAGTATTCGTAGAATACCAGGTTGGAAGGGACCACAAGGATCATCTAGGCCAACCTTTCAAGGTAAAAGTACAGTTTAAATGAGATTTAAGTACTTGTTTTCATTGTTGTTTCCTATGTCAGTTATCTTTTCTATTTATTCCTGTTTGACTGAGGAGTGGATGCTGGTGGTGAATTGCCCTTGCAAATTGAAGGCTGTGGCATGTGAAAATTAGTCTTGGCTAAAAAATGAAGTTATTCTTTTTACCAAGTTGTTGGAGTTTAGAACACAGTAGTGAAAAGAATCATATCATGGAAAAGGTCTTTCATTGGATTGTAATTCATGGCTTGTCTACTTAAAGTAACAGTGTGTTGGATTCTCCTTACGTTTGAGCATTTGTGGATATGTATTTGACACTGCTTCCTAGGGGAGCACCAGCTCTGGGACATCTTTAACTCCATAAACATTTTAGTTCAAATCTAAAATAGCATTTCTGATACAATTTGAAAGGTTAGTCTTTTCAATAGTGATGTTTTTCGCACAAATTGAAAATGGGAGTTTCATTGCTCTAAATAGGAACGTGGTTTAACTGCAGTGTATTTTATTTCTCTTGCCATGTCTTACATACACCATAAAATACTTTCTGTTCGATGTATTACGAACAGTGCTTATATAGTTACTTTAGCTTGGGAAAGTAAGTCTACAATTACATTTGCCTTAAGTATTAACTGGTGAGCAACAGAGTGGAGCAAAATTAATGAACAGCAGCGTAAATTCTGGCTCACGTTGTCTACTACAACACTCCTCAATTTCTACTCGTGGTTTTGGTAGCAGTACTCGTGGACAGAGTTAATGTAAGCACATGCAAACCTGTTCTGTGATAGATCACATAGAATTGTTTGTCAGTGGGTCTGGAAAAAAATCTGCTTTAATGTACACTTGGATTTATAAATGTAATGTTTTTTTAAAAGAAACACATTGCAAAGGCCTTTTAATACTGAATGTTTCTATTAACTTGTAAGTGTGAAGGATGCAGAATACTGTGTGGTGTTTCCAACTGAAACCTTTATGATGAAAAGAGTGTAAAAGTGATTGAAAAGTTTATTTAGATAATAATGCTGTCACAGTACAACAATAAAAACAAACTTTTAAAATCTGTGTGTCTTTATTTGATACAAAAACATCATCTGTTGCACTGGGATTGAGTGGTGGTTGTGTAATTGCTGTCATTTTGCCTTCTGGACC